TATAATAAGCAATGCCAAATACAACTTTTAGCTTCTTTGCTGTTTCTCTTCTACTACTGTATCTTCTCAATACTTACTTTCAATCAATTAAACTGAGGAAACAAAAAAGCTGTAACTGCAGCTTCATCAAAAATGTTCTTCACACTTCACATAAGGTTGGACATGAAAGGAACAGGTGGGAAACATTTTAATGCTCCACTCCTCATAATTGGCATTTCAGACAAGAAAAACTATCTGTTCGATTAAATAGAATATTCAAGTTGATTGTTTATACTAATTGTTAAATTAATTGAATATATCATATTAATTTTTTTATTAAAAATAATATATCTATATAGTTTAGTGATCATACAAAATTTAATACTGTTTAAAATATCTTTAAAATATAATTTTTTATCGAATTATTATAGACATTAGATTGATTTAAAAATTGACATGTATGATTTAGGTCGATAAGAAACTTGATTTAGTAATTGATTTTTTAAAAAATTAATTAAAAGTGATACTTAAAAATTGGGTTTCTAATTTTTCTTAACAGTTGAGATTTAACCCTTTATTTTTATTTTTTTGTGTTAAATTGTTCAATTATTTATTTTTGAAAAGGAGTGTCCATCGGTCTTATATCTCTTAGAAGAGTAATGATAAGAAAAATGAAAATTTAGGACTAATGTCACGTCGTTAAATTAGTTAATATATATAATATTATAAATATCAAAAAAATAAAAAGAATAAATCATTAAATAATATAAGGTTTATTTTTTAATATTTTAAATGACATCACTTATATTACATTATAAATATCAAAGAAATAAAAAGAATAAATCATTAAATAATATAAGGTTTATTTTTTAATATTTTAAATGACATCACTTATATTACATCATTAATTTTAAATTTTAATCTTAAATTTTAGTCTCATTTGTTATTATCCCTCTTAAAAATTAGAAAAGCGTTTGCATGTCACGAACAAATTTTTTTTCGCAATCTAAATCTCAACAACGTTTACTCAATGAAAATTACCTCCTTTGTTCCACATTATTAGTTCTTTTGTGAGAAATCACTAAGATTAATAGGGATGGTAATTTTCTTCGTGACCCGCAGAGCTTTACGGAGATTCCCGCCATGGGGATGAAGATTCCAAGAATATTCCTTCCCGTGGGCGAGGATGGAGGCAATTTTTCCTCCGTGAAATTTTGTGGGGAATTTCCTCCATCCCATGGAGAACTGTGGAGATCCATATAAAATAAAAATATATATACATTTATTTATATATATATATTTTTTACATATGTTAACAATTAATTTTTACTTACCCAATCTAATTAGCTAACCCAATACTAATATAACTTAAATTTCACAACCCATTCTTTTTTCAATTTTTCCAAACCCAATTGTCAGCCCAACACATTTTTTTTTTGTCAATCTAATATTCTTAAACCTAATTGCCCAACCTAATTTACAACCCAGTTTACATAACTCTAGAAGCAAAAAGACAATCCAATTATCCAAAGATTTTAGTCTCTTTGCTTGCTACTTGCGAATTGCAATTCCTCTCTCCAGTTAGTCTCCTATCCTCTGCCGCGCACACTCTGTGCTATAACTCTTGCTCAATCCTCTCTGTCCTCATCTCAACTGTGAATCGGTGATTCCTTTCAAGCTCTCAACCTTTCACCATGCCATCACTACAACCACTGCAACGCTCACCGCTCACCGCTCACCACCACTCATTGCTCACCTCCAGCTCCAAGGATGAGTTGTCCTCTTTCTGTTGTTGCGTGGCCATCTCAATTGTGATTCGGTGATTCCCTTCAAGCTTTCATCCTCTCACCGTGCCATCACTACAACCCTTGCAACGCTCACCGCTCACCTCCAGCTCCAAGGCTGGGTTGCCCTCTTTCTACTATCATGTGGCCATCTTAATTGTGATTCAATGATTCCCTTCAAGCTCTCAGCCTCTCATTGTGCTGTCACTACAACCACTACAAGTCTACAACGCTCACCGCTCACCATCGCTCATTACAAGTACTAGTGGAAGAGTTATTAGTCCACATCGAAGCAAGCTTAGACCAAATACGATACAAGCACTGATGTGTCTTCAAGATTGGTTGAAGAAAGATCTGAAAGGTATTAAATTAAGGCTATATTTCTCTTATTTTCTTATTTTTGAATTTGTATTCTAAACTTTTATTACGTTTGAAATTCAGGTTCTGACAATAATGGCAATTTCTTCAATCTATTTGACGAGTTGGAGGAGAATGATAATGAGGATGATGAGTCTGAGATAAATTTTAAACAATAATGTTTCTTTATATAAATTATTATATAAATTTTTAAAAAAAAAATTTTGTTAATTTGGGATATTTTTTTTGTTTTAGGAAGTTATTTCCTTAACTTGAAATTATTGATCAAGCTTAGCTTAAATTGTTGCTGTAGAGTTTACCTTGCTTGATTGGATGGATATGTACGCATGTGCCACTTTCTAAACTCTTTTATGTGCTTTTCTCAATGAACTTATTGCTGGACATGTATGGCAGCAGTTTATGCTTTTTTTTTTTTCTATAAACTTTGCTAAATCTAGACATAAATGACAGTTGCAATTTATGCTTTTATTTTTTATAAACCTTTTGTTGGATTTGCTAGATTTATATGGCAATTTATGCCTTTTTTCTTTATGAAATATGAACCTGTTGCTAGCTTGCTTGCTGGACTTGCTTGACAATGACATATATATATTGGCTGTATTATTGTGTATATTTACTGCTTGTTTATCTTGTTTCAAAATTTTACTTTATATGATTATTTGAGTTAGTTTTATTTGATGAATGTGGAAACCAGTGGAGTCTAAATAGAGCCATGTTGAGCTTAATTTTGATTAACAAGTAGTGAAAATTTTGATTAACATGTAGTGGAATAAGTGATGGTTTTATTTGGCCAGGGACTTTGAATACCCGCGGGTATGGGAACGGAGGTAATTTTTGACTCTCCGCCAAAAATCTCCACGAGAATCCCCGTACCCACCATTGGCATGGATAGGGATGGGGATGGAGAGGGCATCCCCACCCCCGTAAGGACCCATTGCCATTCCTAAAGATTAAAGTAATAAATTATTTTTTAAAAAAGCCAAACTTTCTATTTACACCTTAAATATTATTATTTTTCATAATCAATGTCTTTTAAAATTTTTACTTTCAACTAACAAATTTGAAACTAATAAAAAATCCAAAAGTTAACAACCAAACCACCTATTTGCACCCCAAATTTATTGGTAATTTGAAATTTTTAATAGATTTTAAATTATAAAAAGTATTGACTAAAAGTGAAAATTTTAAAAAATATTCATTACGAAAACAATAATATTCATGGTATAAATAAGGGGTTTGGCCAAAATAATAATGATAATAATAAATTGTTTTTGATTTTTGAAATAGATATATTTAAAGTACCAAATTACCCTTTTAAAATTTTTTTTATTCTCTATTTCAATGAAAGAGATAATTAATGTTGGAGGGTAAAATAGGGAGATAGTTAATCAATGCTGTATTAAAAACGAAAATGACAATTAAATTGAAACATAAAAATTCTCCTTAAACCCCAACCCTAATAAACGAAAGTCGCTTAAACCCCAACCCTAATAAACGAAAGTCGCTTTGGCAAGCATAGCTGTTGCACTTGATACATTAATCAAAAATGGTATTTTTAGAGTCAAGACTTCATACTTTGTTAAGAGTACATTTTTTGTTTCAAAAATTAACCTTTTAAGTGCCCATTTGGTGAAAGGCCAATTTTAGGAAAAATGTTTTTATTGAAGAAGTGATTAAAACAATGTTATACAAACAGTTCTAAGGAAATTTTGTTGAGATTGTAAACTTTCTTGTCTTCAATAAGTTAATATAAGGAAAATTGCTGAAAAAATTGTCAAGTCCTACATTAAGAAAATTGACAAAGTTTCTTCTTAAAAATATAAAAAGAAAAGATTGTTTATCAAGTATTGTTAAGATGTCGACCCAACCCCAGATAACAAATTGGCTATGAAAACTATTGGCTATAAGTGAAATAATCCATATTTCATTTAACTCCATAAATCTCTCCTTAACTAATGGATGTAAGAATTTTTCCCCTTAACCATGAACATGCTCTTAACATTTAGATATACTCTAACCGTAGATGGAAATTTGTCTATTACAAAAATGTTGAGCTGAAATGCTAAACTAGCCTAAGCAAAGATAGATGAGACAAATCCAAAACAGAAAAACGGAAGAAAAAAAAAAGGCAGTTGCAAGTGATTATATAATTTACAGCAACATATTAGCAGTGGAAAACATCAGGTACCACAAAGGGCAATAGACAACTCTAGGTTTATAGCATGTTGGCCAGAAGAAGTGAAGCCCTCACTCATCTCGCTAATAGAAGACGAACCAGTCGAAATGTTGCTTCTATGCAACGATGGACGATGTAGAGAGAGCGTCAGGGATAGTTCATCTTCTTCTTCGTCTTGCCCTGATCTTCTATCACTTCCTACCTCTTCCTTGTCATTCTGCAACGAACAAAGGATATAACTACTTTACATCATGTTTGAAGCCTTCAAGTTTAACATTTCATTCGTTCACACATACAATTTGACAAAAAGAATAAAGGCAGCATGTCACTTAGGAGGAATGTTCTAAATATTTAGAAAAAGAGACTTAATGTCCTAGTTTGAAGGTCTTGCGTTCAAATCTTAACACGGGCTAAATGCGAATATTCCTATCTCATTACATCTCAGTGTACCAAAACACAAAACGCAAAACACGGTTATAACAAGACGTGACGCAAGCAGATGTCGAAAGCATAACCATTAATTTCCTATTACCAAAGGTCATAAGAGCAATGGCATGGAAACCACAAAGAAGCCACCATACATGAACCGGTAGAAAGTTTGAAACTTGAAAAAGAAAAAAGGTTGAATGGAAAGCAAAACCTAACATTACACTCAAGACCCCATGAAAAGAAATTAAAAATTAAAAATAAATAAATGAGCGTGGGTTTTGAAGGGTACCGTAAGATGAAAATCAGATCTTTCCACTGAATATTTTAAGGAGTAAAGACTGTGACTTAGTGAGGTGAAACCACCATTTCCTCCCTTTATTCCCTTGTGCTGCAGAAAATAATCATCAAAAGAGTACGGTTTTGAGTCTGTCTCACAAGCACCTTGGCTGCTGCATCGTTGCAGGTTCTGATCAGAGATTGAACTCCTGCTGCTCTGATCTATTCTAGCTCTGAGCAAGGAGAAAAAGAAATCAAACAAAAGGAATTTTTCAATTTTGGAGGAAAAAAGCAAGAGATAGAGCTGAAAAGAAGAAAAGACCATGCCATGCAAATCTTCTTTTGTTTGTTTCTTGCACTGCACTGTATTACTTTTGCTTTTTGGTATTTTGAAAAGTGAAAAGTCTCTGTAGCTGACCTTTTCAAAGGGCGAGGAATACTGCTGCGGATCAAGTGAGAATCCGATTCTTCAATGGGTTTTGGAGATGGGTTCAAACCCACATCATCATGACCCTCAAAAGATTGTCTTCTTTGATGGGTAGAACTCCTATCTGTCATAGAGAAACCCAACACGAAAATCATGTTAGAGGAAATAAAAAGAAGAGATTTGGGGGTTTCATTTATCATTGTTTAATATATATCAACTTATACAGAAAACAAGGGAATCTGGGTTTTCATTAGAAGTGCCAATAGTAGAAGATTTGTGAAGAAACCAGTTAACACCTGATCTTATCTATTCTGGCATAAGTTGATTGCGAAACAAGGGATATAATAAATGAAGTGATATACTAGATATTACTTCCTCTTTTCCAAAGAATATGTGAAAATGGATTATCTGTTGGATCTTCGATTTTTAACTTAGAAAAACAGCCATTAGTGGAAAGTGTAATGGAGAGTCTGCCTTTATTGCAAAATCACAAAAAGAATGAAGAACCCCCATCAACCAAGAAAGTATATATTTATTTGTACCTTGTCTGCTGCCCAGATCACTCTTCATGCTTCTATACATCTGGGAAGGAAACAAAAGAGAAAAGAAGAGAAAAACATCAAATTAGAGTTGGGAATTTGAACCCAAGGCATGCATGAAAACAAGATTGGAGAGAAACCCACCTGTAGATGGCTTTTGACATGAGATATGGTAAGTCCTTTCACATCCATGAGCTGAAGAACAAGCTTAGGAGTGGCTTCTACAAACAAAAAGGGGGAAAAAAACAACTTATATTATCACACAAGCAAAGGATCTAACAAAAACAAGGCATCAAGAAGAAGGAACAAAAAACTAAAACTTACTGTCTTGACCACCAAGCCTCTCAATGGCATGAACAAAACAGTGATGAAGCTCGGGAGTCCATCTCAAACGAGGAACCTTGGATCTTATATACTGCCTCACAGCACCACTTCTCCCACAACTACCCATTTCTCCCCTCCTCAAAACACCACCAAAGTCACCTCCTTTTTCCCAGAAAACTAACACCCAGTTTGCAAATTAGCTTCCACTTATCCCAGAAATTAAATAACAATCTTGTTGGAACTCTCTAGTGTAAAGCAGCAGAATAGAAACGAGCAGAAGGACAGTACAGAAGGATCACGAGATGAAAAAAGGAAGAGATGGAGGTGTAAATTCCTTATGGAGCAGTGATAATACCTGCCTAGGACTGCTGCTTTGGTATGCTTCTATACTCTATTATCTCTGATCCTGCATCTGCACATTCTGATTCAAAAGAGAGAAAATTCTCATCACGAGTTTCTGATCTCCAAAATCATTACCCCTATACAAATACAAATACCCCCAACTGCTTTGCTTTGACCTTTGTTCCGCTCTCTCTCCGTCTTTCTCTCTCTTACCCTTTTCTTTCTTTTCTTTGATTCTTCTTCTTATATACATAGACACACGCAAATGGGATTATGTATATTATATAAAATATATTTCTGCATATTGGGATACTGCCGACGTCGTCATGATCACAAAAAGGTCCATGAAATGTTTTTTGGTTTTTATTTTTCAATGCTAGACAGAAGGACAGGGTTTGGGTCACCCCTTTGACTGCATACCCATCAAGGTCAAGGGTACATTGTTTCTTCCTGAACAAATCTGTCCTTTTTTTCTAAAATGACATTTTCACCCTCCTTTTGGACTGCGCTTCGACTCCATATTACTTCAGGACATCGATTTTTTGGTTCATTGAGATTGAAAATTTTTTGGCTATTCAAGTTGGTGATTGATTGATGATCACTTCTTACATTTAATGCACACCATGTGTGAGTACATTTCGGGTATTAGTTATAACCGACAACAATTTATTTGTTAATTAAACTATCAATTATAAATTATAAATTTTATCAATTTTGATGAATTTTTTTTAAAAACAATTTGATTCGATTGTAGTTTTTTTTTTATGGTGATTCGATTGTAGTTTAAATCAAAAAATTAAACTTTGTTAACATTTGAGCGTGCATGTGCCCAAAAAATTATAAAGCATTAATTTTTAAAAAAATAAAAAACCCAAAAATTTTAATTACATTAGATCTAATCCCACGGTTTCCAGTTTTTGGATCTAGCAACTGAAACTTGCCTGATTGAGATTCAGTTACAACTTAAAAACTCCAAAACTAATTAGACTCGATTTACCAATTATGATTTCAATCAGTTTCAAGTTTTTTCCATCAATCGATTTTCCACCTACCCCCAAACACAAGGCTTGATCAATTTTATAAAGTTTTAAATGTAATAAAAAATTATTAACTTTAATAATATATTTAGATTTAGGGAATCACTTTAAAAAAAATTAAACAAAGGAATTTTTTATTAAAAAATTAAATAAATAAAAGGATTAACTCAAATTGTAAAAATCGTCGCAAAATATAATAGAAAACCTAAGTTTAAGTCTCTTCATTCTCTTTTTAGTGCAAAATGAATCACAGCCGCTACCTTTAAAAATAAAATTCTTCTTGATTCGTGTGGATGAGGTAATTTACAACGACTTAGAAATTAGTCAAGTGCTCATATATCCATATTATTGAAAAAAAGATTAAGAAATGGAATCCAAATTTTTGTTTAGTTCAAAAAAAAAAATTCTATAGGTTTCTTTATTTTTTCTTTAATTTCTTTTTATCCAAATATACTATAAATAGTAGTAAATATTAATTTGATGAAGCTCTTCTTAAATGCTTAATTTAAGGATGGTAAAAATGAGTACGGTTAGGATCTTTTTAAGGTGAGGAG